TGTGTGTGTGTGTGCGGGTGTGTGTGTGTGTGCGCTTATGTGTGTATGTGTGTGTGTGTGGGGGGGGGGTGCTTGTGTGTGAGTGTGTGCGTGCACGTGTGTGCGCACGAGAGTGCAATGCTCTCACGCCCACCCTCGTGATTGCTTCTTTCCTTGCCTGTCTGTGGCCATGTCTCGGCGCTTCCTTCCTTCCTTCCTTCCTTCCTTGTTTGTTTGCTTGTCTCTGTGCTTGATCCCATGACTCTCTCCTGTACTGCTTTGTTTACCGTGTGCATGGTGGGCTGTGATCTTCAGGGAACGTATGAATTGCACATCGACGCTCCAGCCGAATGGAACTTTGGTGAGTCTGGCAAGACGCTCTGCTTTCCATGCCACGTCCGTTCTCCTCGCGTGCGTTCTCCTCGAAGACTGGCACCTGCCTCACTTCATGTGTGTACGTGTATTGTGCGACGAAGATTCGAGGCAGGCGACCATCGCCTTCAATGGTGAGAGTGACAAGTGTTCGCGAGGAGAGGACATCAACTTCTCCTTCACTGGACTGGACGTGAAGGGACAAGTTGTGGCTGAAGCAACAGACATGGGCCCTGCAGGCGTCGAGGTGGCGCTACATGCTATCGAAGAGCAGGACGATGGAACGCCTCTTATCGCTGATGAGCACCTGCAAACGACCCTTACTGACAAACAAGGTTCGACACATGCCGTGATATTGAGAAAGAAAGAAAGAAAGAGAGAGAGAGAGAGAGAGAGAGTGTGTGTGTGTGTGTGTGTGTGTGTGTGTGTGTGTGTGTGTGTGTGTGTGTGTGTGTATGCGTGTGTGCGTGTGCGTGTGCGTGTGTGTCTGACTCCGTGAGCGCAGCCTTTCGTGTTCATGCACTCACCTACACCACCCCAACACACATATCGCATCACATCTTTCTGCAACCCTCCTCTTCTTCTCTGTACTCCGCAACGTCGACATTGCAGGCCATTTCACGTTCCACGACGTGCTGCCTGGGACGTATGCTGTGCGCGGGCGACACGAGCGGTGGTCCTTCAGCAAACCAACTCAACATATCGCCGTGCAGCCAACACGCGTCGACCACCCTGTCCTCGTGCTGTCCGGACATGACGTCGTGGTGAGGACAATGACATGACTGTGGTGGAACAGTTGAAAAACGCGGACTCAACACACAGACTCTTGCACATGTGTTCACACACAAGTTGGCACTTGCACACACACGTGCATATTCACGCATGTACTCACACACATATTCACATACACACGTTCACGTGCCCATCAGGTTCACGTGCGCGACCATGTTGGCAACGGCGTTCCTGGCGCCATCTTCGCCATCTCAACAGCGGCCGAGCGCGACGCGTGCGATTCCATCGACACAACAGCTGTGCAAGCCCACTTTGCAACGTAAGTCCCGTCAGTTCCCGGACCTTGGCGCTAAATGGCTCCTGCATGTGTGTGTGCGTGTGTGCGTGTGCGTGCGTGCGTGCGTGCGTGCGTGTGTGTGTTTGTGTTTGTGTGTGTGTGTGTGTGTGTGTGTGTGTGCGTGTGTGTGTTTGTGTGTGTGTGCGTGCGTGCGTGTGTGTGCGTGTGTGTTTGTGTGTGTGTGCGTGCGTGCGTGTGTGTGCGTGTGTGCGTGCGTGCGTGTGTGCGTGTTTGCGTTTGTGCGTGCGTGCGTGTCCCATGGCATTGTTGCTGAAGGGTGCAAGTCTCGACAATGTCGGCGTCACCATCACCATCACCATCACCATCACCATCACCATCACCATCACCATGTCCATTGTCGCTGCTGCCGCTGCAGGATGAAGGGCCATGTGTGGTGCACGGCGGTGTCGGATGCGACCGGTGCCGTCATCTTTACGGGCGTCAATCCAGGCCAGCACACCATCACGGGCGCTGTCCGCGACGCCAGCGGCGCAGTGTATGGCCTGCACCCGCGCCAGCAGCAAGTGACGGTCGCTGTCGGCGGAACGCAGCCACTGGACGACTTTGTTGTTGTCGCTGCGGCTGTCACCGGTTCATGCACTACGCCTGCGGGCGACGCCATCCCAGGCGTACGCGTCCGTCTCATTGCGCACGGATCCGGTAAGACACGCGCGATTACACGAGCGGTGTATCGTGGTGTATGGTGTGGATTGCATGTGAGGGTCTTGTTTGTGTACTTCTGCATGTGCGTGTGTCTGCTGCACGAAACCCCAAGATAAGCAGCTTATTTGATTGTCACTGATGCCCTCAAACACAAACACAAACACAAACACACATATGAACACGCGTGTCTCCAGATGGGGTTGAGACAGAGACGGGCACTGACGGCCGATTTGCATTTTCACATGTCAACCCCTCACTGCCATACGCCGTTGTTGCTTCCAAGGATGGGCTCGCCTTTGATCCAATTCAGGTGCCTGCTGTGTGCGGGGTGTGCATCATGTGTGTCGTGTGTGTCGTGTGTGTGTGTGTGTGTGTGTGTGTGTGTGTGTGTGTGTGTGTGTGTGTGTGTGTGTGTGTGTGTGATGACCACTTGCTTTGTTTTCTCACACGGTGTCACTGACGTTCGTTGAGTTTAGGTGACATTGGACGGGTTCAGCACTTCAATGCACATCCAGCCAAACCGCTTCAAGGTCGGTGGCCACCTTGACACTCAAACACACTCACGAACGAACGAACGAACGAATGAACGCACTCGCCCACAAACTCGCGAACTCACAAACTCACTTGCAGGTGTGCGGCCGGCTCGTGTCTGCTTCCCCCGTCGTCGGCAGCGCGCTCTCCACCGCTGGTGTTCGGGTCGTCGCCCGTTCATCCGCAGCAGACAGAGGTACCGTCCATGCTTTGCACAATGCACCACCATCATTAGCACTTCACCCTGTTGCAGGCTCGTAGTGATTAAACCTGCACCTCCCGACACACCTCCCGACACACCTCCCGACACACCTCCCGACACACCTCGCTCTGGTACACCCTCACGAAACCTGTTTGTAACGTCCTCAACAACACAGCTGTAGAGAGTGTAAGCGACAGCAGCGGGCGGTTTTGCTTTGAACTTCCCCCGGGCGATGCGTCTTTCAACATTGCGCCAGGTAGCAACAAAACACGCGCACAGACAGAGACAGAGACAGAGACAGAGACAGAGACCGAGACAGACAGACGGACGGACACACACACACGCGCCCGCGCGCACACACACACACACACACACTCTCTCTCTCTCTCTCTCTCTCTCTGTGGAGGTTCTCGACTCTGCTTCCCCTTCGCTGACTGTCCCTCACACGTTGTGCGTGCGTGCAGTGTCCGCCGCGTACTGGGAGCCGAAACTCATCGACGTGCACGTGACAGAGCCGCTGATGCAAGACAATGATGAACTTCCAACGTTTCGACAGGTATCATGCAACACCACCACCTTCGTGATGTCGATTCACACTCTTCGAGAGCCAGCCATGTACATGCAACTTCTTCGCTGCGAAGACAAACCTTCACACACGATGACACGCACGCAAACATACACGTATACACGCACACCTGCAGGTTGTTGGTCGCATCCGAGGGGTGGTGCGGTGTCTGGATAAGTGCAACGATGACATGCACATGTCCATCACGGCCGCTGGTGAGGGCAAGAAGCGGTTCCCCGTGGCGATTGAGCAGGACGGGACGGCGTCGTTTGCAGTCGACAACGTGGCTCTGGAGGCGTTTTCCGTGAGTGTCTCGAAGCCAACGTGGTGCTTCACGCCCAAGATGGCGGCGGTGGTGGTGAAGCCGCACGACATGACTGTTGACGGGCAGCGCGTGGACAGCGTCGACTTTGAGCAGAGGGGATACAGCCTCAAAATCACCGTAAGTGGTGCGCGCGCGTGTGTGCGTGTGTCTTTCTGTGTCTGTGTCTTTGTGTGTGCGGCTGTCTGATATGTGTGTGTGTATTGTTGTGTGCGTCTGTCTGTCTGTCTGTCTGTCCGTCTGTCTGTCCGTTCATCTGTGTGCATGTGTTCATCTGTGTGCATGTGTGTGCCGCTGGCCCGAGCGCGGGCAACCGGCCCTGAATTCACTCATGCACCACGTGTTGTTGTGCACACATCCTCACATGGTTCATGCTTCTGTCAAGGCGTCGCACGATGTGAACGTGAGCATCAGCCACAATGCACATAAGGACGCCGAGGTCGTTCTCGTGGCAAAGGGGAAATCACGGTGCGTTCTGACCTCCTTGATTCGTGCTTGTGTGTTCTGGCCCTGAACACGTGCTTCTGTTTGTCATCCTCACGCCCGTTCACACAACATGTGTTCGCCTTTCTCACACCAATACGCACATGCAGCATTTGCCTCCAGAATCAGGGGGTGTACACCATCACCCCGCGCTCCTGCTTCCGGTGCGTGGGCGCTAGGGCCGATAACCCAATGTCTGCCTTTCATGCTTGCGTTATCCTTCTCTGCCCAACATCTGTTCGCCTTTCTCATCTCTTGTGCTGCTGTGTGCTGGTGACAGGTACAACCAGGACAGTTTCGTGTACGACACATCAAACCCGCAGCCCATCGACCTCACCGCTCACGTACGTGTGTTATGTTCATGATTGTTGTTTGTGTGTGTGCGTGCGTGCGTGCGTGTGTGTGTGTGCGTGTGTGTGCGTGCGCGCGCGCGCGTGTGTGTGTGTGTGTGTGTGAACACGTATGTGCCTGTGCGTAGGTGCGTGTCTGTACATGGGTGCGCTTGATGCTGCGGTATTGGCTGTCAGCAATGTAACGTGGAAAGACACATGTTCACCATGCCGTCACCCTGCCCTGCCTGTCTCTCTATTTGTGGTCGTGCCCACAATGTGTGACAACCATTGCAGGCTGTGACGTTCACTGGCACCGCGCTGCTGCCCAAGATGTGCTCGTCGCTCACAGCAGAAGCTGTGGACGATGAGGGCACCACTTGGCCAGGGACGACGGCCTTTGCCGGCAAGCGAGGTGCGTTGTGGCCTGAGTTTGTTCGCGTTTGCTTTCATTTGTTTCTGAAGAAGAGGGTGGATGTGTATGTGTGCGTACATGGGCATGTGTGTTTAAACGGCCACCGCACATGTGCCTGGGCATTCACACGATGATCGCCACCGATATCACAGAAGACGCATTCCAATATGAGTTTTCTGTCGTCGTTCCGCTCGGTATCAACGCACGCGTCGTTCTCTCCGGCTGCCGCCTCTATTTCTCCCCGCCCTCCACACCCTTGACCCTCCCGGTGTGTGTGTCTTTGTGTCTTTGTGTCCTTGTGTTTGTGTGTTTGTGTGTGTCTGTGCTCGTTTGTGTGTGTGTGTGCTCGTTTGTGTGGGCTCGTGCATGTGTGTCTGTGTGTGCTCGTGCATGTGTATGTGGGCTCGTGCATGTGTGTCTGTGGCTGTGTCTGTGTCTGTGTCTGTGTGTGTGTGTGTGTCTGTGTATGCCTATGTTATAACCCCATTTCTGTGTCCTGAGCTGTTGCAAAGATGCGACTTCAACACGCCCGCTGTAGCTCATCTTGTTTGCTCATACATGCATAACCAGGAGAGCGGGTGTCCCGAACCCCTGGCGCCGTTTCATGGAAAGGAGGGGATCCGCGTGTCTGGTCACGTTGATCCCCCGCTTGCAGGCGTGAACGTCACACTCTCCACTGCCTGCAAGGAACGCCGCCTCGAAACAACACAATCCTTCACCACAGCCAGCGATGGCAAGGTTTGTGTGTGTGTGTGTGTGTGTGTGTGTGTGTGTGTGTGTGTGTGTGTGTGTTTTACTCTTTTGTTGTGTGTGTGTGTGTGCAACGTTTTCACGTGCCTCCTTCCTTATCCTCCTTCTTTTCATCCACGCGTGCACTCGAAACTTCCTCACTCGCACATGCACCCGTGTGCTTCTTCCTCTCGACGTAACCCACTGTCATCGCTGCGTCACTTGCATGCAGTTTATTTTTGGACCCGTGTCCGACGAATGCAGAGTGCAGCTCAGCGCTGAAAAAGAAGGTAAGGACTTGCCGTCAGCGCCAGGGAGTGATAGTGACCTACCGACCGCACTGCAATCTTACCAACTCAAGCAATGCACCAGCTCGCAGTGACACATGCACTGCGGCACAGGCAATACAAGCTCACTACGCAGTCCAGCTTGCTTGTGATTTGTTGTGTATCAGCCTGCTCACATTCTGCGTGTTCTCATGCCGGCTTATGACTGCCGTCTGCCTGCAGGATATGAACTCATCCTGGCCGAGGGCGAAACGAACACATTCAAGGCCATCAAACTCGGTGCTCTGGAGCTTTCCGTCGCCACCCCGAGTGGCGAACCAGTCAAGGTGGAGCGATCTGACTGAATGCACATGCTTTCTGACGGTATCTTCGAGTGCGCCTGTTCTATGGCACCATTCACTTCCCTCCCCCTCTGTTCACACAACACACACACACACTCACGCACACACTCACGCACACTCACACACACATACACACACACACATACACACACACACACACATACACACACACAACTCCACATAGGGCGCCGTGTTGACAGTGACGGGCGGGACATACAGAAAAAGTCGGGCCACGCGAGACAACGGAACAGTCATCTTCAAGCACTTGAGTGAGTTTTCCTCAAGTCGTGTTGGATATCACCTCCTGTTGCGCCTTGCTGCCTTCTTTGCCGCAGTCCAGCCAATTTTGCCGTCAGCTGGCTGTGCACTCACATCCACCCACTCCGATCCCGTGTTCTGCAGGACCGATGCAGTACTTTGTGAAGCCGCTGCTGAAGTCGTTTGTGTTCCGGCCCGCGTCGTCGCTGGTCAACATGACCGCAGGACAGCTCGTCCATGTCTCCCTCACCGCCGTCCGCTCGTCGTTCAGCGTGTGTGGACGTCTCAAAACACCGAGTGGCAGCATCGAGAATGGCCTCAAGCTTGCAGCGACGTCACTTCAAGGTCTTGATATCACGCATGCATGTGTGGAGCGTGCGTGCTTGCTGCGGGCAGCATTTGCTGCTTCAGCTTATCTTTGTTGCCGTAATGCCTTGGCAGCTCGCTATCTTCCCAGAGCACTTGTGATTGCTACTTTTGCCAACAAACGCTACCACTACCACTACCACAACACCACAACCACCATCATCGCCACTTCCACTAACACCACCACCATCGCCGCCATTGGCACACCTCGATGTTGCGTCGCACCAGATGGCTCCGTGGTTCGTACGGGCACAGCCAATGCCACAGGACACTTCTGCATCGAAGACCTCCATCCCAACACGACTGCCCGCGTTGTTCCTCTTCTCGAGAACAAACCGACACTCACCACGCGCCCAACACACATGGACGTGCACGTGCGTTTGAAAGTGGTGTGGTCGTGCATTTCTTGTTCTGATCATGCGGCAGCAAGTGCTTCATCGCCTCCCGTGCTCTCTGTTTCGCCTCTCCTCTTCGTCGCGTTTGCATTCCATGAACTCGAACGCCCCATATATGCCTCACATGTCTTCGAGCGTGGCGCGCATGTGTGTGTGTGTGTATGTGTGTGAATCAGGTTGGCGAAGCAGATGTCGACGACGTGAAGTTTATCGTCATTCAACACAAGTCGACGTGCGTTGTTGCGGGCACTGCCCTGCATCTTCCACTGCAGAGCCGCTCACGCATTCGCGCACACCTTCTCCTCGACGGCGCCATCTTTGCCTCTGATTTCCTCTTTCCCGCAACGCATTTCGAGTTTGAGCTTCCACAGCCAGTCGAGGTCACTGCCTGTGTGTGTGTGTGTGTGTGTGTGTGTGTGTGTGTGTGTGTGTGTGTGTGTGTGTGTGTGTGTGTGTGTGTGTGTGGGCATGTTCTTGTCCTTGTGTACTTGCCCGTCTTGTGTACACACGTACTTTGGCAATTTTTGTTTGTGTCGTGGAGTCTTATTGATTTGTTTCAGGCTTTTTGTTTGTCCTTGGGCTCACCTCGCTCGCTCACGTTGTTTCCCTAACTCCACCAATATAGGGTAGCATCAAAGTACAGCTTGCAGATCAACAAGGGTACAATGCCTTGTGTGTTGTTATTGCTGCTGCTGTTGTTATTGTTGTTGTTGTTGTTGTTGTTGTTGTTGTTGTTGTTGTTGTTGTTGTTGTTGTTGTTGTTGTTGTTGTTGTTGTTGTTGTTGTTGTTGTTGTTGTTGTTGTTGTTGTTGTTGTTGTTGTTGTTGTTGTTGTTGTTGTTGTTGTTGTTGTTGTTGCTGTTGTTGTTGTTGTTGTTGTTGTTGTTGTTGTTGTTGTTGTTGCTGCTGCTGCTGCAACTGTCGGTCCCTGTCACATCAACGCATCCATCCGCTTTGGTGAAATCATCTTGTTGTTGGAGGCAGTCGGTGCTCATTCCATGATGCGGATGTTGCCTTGCTCCCGCTTTTTGTTTTGGGCAGCGTGTTGGTGGAAGCGCCGGTGGATTCATGTGAGGGCACCCGTGTGCTGGCCCTCCCCGTCCCACAACACCAGGCCAGCACGGTGAGCTGCTCCATGCAACAAGACAAGACGCGGGCACCTGTGTTCTCAAATGCATGTGATGGATTTGTGAATTTCTGCCTCCTCCACCGCCACCCTGCTCACCACCACCACCATCCCTGTCACTTGCTGTTTGCGCTCTTGCAGACACGCTCCTCAGCAGTTCAAGGAGAACAAGCGAACATGCGTGTGAACGCAGTGCTTGGTGTTGCTGCCTGCGTGTTTATTCTCGCCACGGCAGTATTGCGCCCCCAACTTGCTCGCTTCAGGCCATGACGTGCCGCGCGCACGATTGATTGCACAATGACATATTTCGACAACCCTACGTTTTCCAGACCCCTTCAACTGGCCGCTCTCCTCGGCTGAACCCTCTGTCCAATTGTGATACTAGAAGATTGAACTTGATTCTGATGCTGGTTTGAACACCACACACTAAACAACTTCAAAATGAACGAAACTATCAACTTCCGCTCAAGCATGAACGCAGGGCAAGGCATCAAACACACACACACACACACACATACACACATACACACACACATACACACATACACACATACACACACACACATACACACACACAAAATTACAGGGTGCTGCTATTTTGGGGTTGATGTGCGCACGCGGGACGAGCGACTTGCAACGCTGGATGCTCTGGAGCCGGACGCGTTTCCAGGCGTTCTCGTGCTGCGAGGGCGAGAGGTGGCATAATGGGGGCTGATTTGCGATGAAAACACACGCAGCTGTTGCAACTCTTGTTCCTGTTGGCACACATGTGCGGCAGTCGTGGATGTGAACGTGAGTTAAGTGAAGGAGTGAAAATGATGGAGATTGACAATCGCTGACACTACAAACACCATACAAACACACACAAACAAACAAGCAAACAAACAAACAAACAAACAAACAAACAAACAAACAAACAAACAAACAACAAGCAAACAAGCAAACAAGCAAACAAGCAAACAAGCAAACAAACAAACAAACAAAACCGCACGCATGCACACAAACACGCAACAAAGCACGATACAAACCCCTCTCCCAACACACACACACACACACACACACACACACACACACACACACACACACACACACACACACACACACACACACACACACAAACAAAACACGTACACACACCTGCGTCTTGATCTTCTGCCTGGCGAGGTTGAGGCTGTGCTGGGTGCGATCGAGAGCAAGGCTCGATTCCTGCAGCTTGATGCGCAGGTCGTCCGCCTCCTTGATCAGCTCAACATCAATGTCATCATCGCCAGTCGTTGACGCCGGGCCGACAGAGACGCGCCTGTGCACCATCTCCAGCTCCAACTGCCGCGTTCTCGCGCGCTCCGTCTGCAATTCGCCCTCCAGCTGCCCAACCCGATCAGCCAGCACGTCCCGCACCTCCTGCAGCTCGTGCTCCAGCCGCGAAATGACGCCCTCCCGGTGCTCCACCACCTGCCGCTGCTGCTGCGCCATCTGTCGGATGTGCTCCTCTGCAAGCTTGATCTGCCGCGTCAACTCGCCAACGGACGCCTGTTCTGACGCCGCGCTCGCGCCGTCGGTGCTCTCCCCAGCAGCAGCAGCCTTGAGCATGCGCTCGTTGTGCTCTGCCAGCATTGCCACCTGCGCCGCCAGCTCGTCACACCGCGTGGCCTTCATGTTCCGCTCCACGATGAGGCCCTCCACCCGCCGCTTCAGCGCATCCGAGTGGGCCAAGGCATTGGACAGCTTCTGCTGCAGCCCCGCAATCTCGTGCGTGCTCCCTTCCGCCACCGTGCGCAGCTGCTCAAAGTCGCTCATGGGCACCACGTTCTCTGCCTGCTGCTGCTGCGCCTGTGCCAGGTCCTCCTGCACAGCGCTCAGCTGTTGCTGCAGCTCGGCCGTCTGCTTCTCGCCGTCCTCCGCCCGCTTCACCGCAGCCGCGTGCTGCTGGTGCAGGTACTCGTACGACTCCTGCCATCGCCGGCTGTTGTCTGCCGCGGCGTGCCTGTCCTGCTCAACCTGCTTCTTCAGCGCATCCACCTGCTGCTGCTGCCGCTGCGCCGTCTTCTGCTCGGCCACCAGCCGCTGCTCCAGCGCCTTGATCTTGGCCTGCGCCTTCTTTGTCTTCTCGCCGTCGCCCGTGGCTTCGTCCAGCTGCTTCTGCAGCGCATCCATCGACTTGCGCTCCAGCGTCAGCTGTTCCGTTCGCCGCGCCAGCTCCTTGCGCAGCTTTGCGCCCGCTGAGCCGCCAACGCACCGCCCCACCACCAGCTGCCCAACACACACAGCGGCAAGAACAGACGCCAACGCGAAGACGAGCGAGCAGGAGGACGGGACGCCCGCCGCTGCTGCAGAATCACGGAGCACGCTGTCGATGTTCATCCCAAACACCACCAGATCACCATCCACGCCAACCAATCCGCCCAGCGTTGCCCCGCCAACACATGCAGTGGGGGCAGCACCTTGCTGCTGCTGCTGCTGCTGCTGCTGCTGCTGTTGCTGCGGTGACAGTTGTGGTGGCGGTTGTTGTTGCTGCGGTGGTAGTTGTTGGTGATGCGGTGGCAGTTGTTGATGATGTGGTTGTAGAAGTGGTTGTTCTTGTTCTTGCTCTTGTTGTT